GGTCCCTAAATAGGGTATTAGCTCTATAACCTTAATTAGGTGCGTTAGGCAATAGATACTACTATACTTACTATTCGGCTTTAATAGGCGTTCTAATTTAGTAACGTAGTCGCGTTATAATAGCTAGTCTTTACGGGCGACACGGTCGCGAATAACCTTAATACTAAGGAACCACTATAGATAATCGCCTCCTTGTAGATTATAGTGGAGTTATGGATTATTAATAGCCTACTCTATCTATACCTTATATTATTCCTTATAAGTAATACCGATATCGTTAATATAGAAAAACAGGATTAAACCGCGACGTAGAAAATACCACGGTTCCTGCGGCACTATCTAAAAACCGTCCGCGAACAGGATAGCCGGAAAGTGCTTTTACTAAAGTAATAGAGACTCCTTAAGTCTATATCACGCCTTTTTTAGGTATAAACGGCTCCCCGGGGCTAGAAATCCTGGCAGCGGGTATATAAAGATATTATAGGGGAGGGGCGCGTGTAGAAACGCGTTTATAACGTCGAATTATAATAGCGTAAGGTTAAATCGGGTAGCGATAGCTATTAACGCGCGGAATAACCGTCCTGCTAGTATTACTACGTACGTCTCCTTAAGGGAGGATTAAGGCTACTAATCTCCTCGCACTATAAGCCTTATCTTATATTTATATAGAAATCTATACTTATCGAAATTATATATTATTACCTATATTAAATTAAGAACCTAATATCTATCTACTACGGACGCCGGCACTTATATCTATAACCCTATCTCCTTATAGCTTTATAGGTAGTCTTCTTATACCTGTCAGAATAGGTGGCTATAAGGATATAAGGGTATATCGTAAGGGTTCTTTGGAAGAGGAGGGAGGTCTTTACGGTGGATCTTTACGGCCGCCGGAGTACCCGCCGGGGTAACCGCCGGGGTTATATTTCCTAAGACAGCCTCCCGGGTTATACTTCCGGTAGCTACTACCGGGGCTATAAATCCATAGGGTATTATTAAGCGTCGCTATAGCGCTATAGGCGTAGACCTTTTTAATCGTAAGTTAGTTAGCGGAGTCCTATTTAATATATATATATCCGGGGCGTGACGGCTAGCGTTAAATACTACCACCTAATAATCTTTTTTCTAGCTATCGCCTTACCGGTTAGGGCGCGCTCCTTTATCTATAAGGAGCCCTATAACCGTTACTATAAGGATATCGCGGTATTATATTCCTCTATCTATAAGGAAGCCTATAGCCGTAGGTGCTTTACGACGATTACCTAAGATCACGGCTACTATTAACGCTATAACCCATAGCGGGGTTATCGGTGGAGTGAGAAGCTATAGATTCATAGACTGCTATAGACGGGGATTAAGAGTTATACTAGTTAAATCACATGGTTCGTGACGTATATCTTATCCTCCTAGACTCGAGATAGCCTCCTCTACCCCCTTACGGCCGGGTATTACGGACTATAACCTTAACGGTAATAACGCCGTCGAGGAAGGGGATCCGGGGGGAACTAGCCCCGGTAAAGGGTTAAGTTTAAAATAAGCAGTTATATAAAGGGGGAGGTCCTTAGCTTATACGTCCGTAACGGCCGTGAATCTCTAGCCCTCTCCTACTCGATCTAACTAATTAGATCTTTTAGTTACGCCTTACTTGATTAACGGAGGTTATCCTTAAAGGTAGCGATATCGCCGTTAAAGAAGGCGCGTTCGTTAAAATCTATATCGCGTATTTGAATAACGCGGTTATAGCGGCGTAGGCTAAGCACCTAGATACGGAAGATATTAGTGGAATCGTAGCCGATAAGGTAGCCGATATAGGCGCGAGGAGTAATAAGATTTAATAGCTTATTAGCGCACTTTTAGGCGTCCTTCGATATCGTGTACACTTAATAGCCGTAGGTTTAAAGGTGTGATAAAATCAACCTCCTTTTAAAGAGGACCTTATAGGGCGTTTTCTAATCCTGGTTATTCTACTACCTTCGCGGCGTGCGGTCATAGACGTATACAGCCGTGGGAATGGCCTTAGGCTACATAAACGGCGGTAGCTTAGCTTGGATATTTATCGTATAACCCTTCGAAATAACTACGGTAGTAGCATATTCGGCACCCCCGTTCTGCGCTTAAGTATTAGTAGTAGATACCTCTAAAAGGATGCCCTCTTTACGTAGGAATTAGGTGATATCGTGGGATTAAGTTAGCTCGTTATTAGATTCGAAAACGCGCACCTTATAGTCTAATTAGCGTTCTACCTAGGCGAGGAATTCCTTAATCATTACGAGGATATCCACTACTAGCTTACTCTTTATAACGTAGGTGGCCGTAAAACCACTATAACGGTCGGTGAAAAATATAAACCGCGAGTTCCTGTCGGACGTTAGGTTAAAATCCGTGAAATTAATTGCTTACCGCTTCCCTGTATAGGCAGGTACGGTATCAGGGCGCCTACTAATATACCGTTTTATTTTTATAAGCTTATATGCTTTGTAGTCCATTATCATTAGTCCCTTAATCTTAACCCCTTACGTATACTTTTCTAGGTGCTTAAGAGGCTTAGGGCTAGTATGCCCTAGTTGTAGATACTATAAGATACCCTCCGTAGTGCGTAGATAACGTATCGTTAATTTATAGACGCCTTATCGGGTGGAAGAAGAAGAGCCTAGAAGAGTAGCCGTAGATTAGTTAGAGGAGGGCACGTATTTAACCACGGTTTAATCGAAGTAGTAACTTAGCTAGTATAATATAGATCTATCGGTATATCGAAGGTAGTTATTTAGTGGCTTCTAATTCTATTAGTATCCGCGTAGTCGTAACCGTTAATTTAAGATTAAATTATAAATAAAATCTACGTAGTATACGACGTTTAAGAGCCTAAACTTAAGGCCTCCTATTAGTCCGTTTAATCTTATAGTTATATTACCGTAATCTCTAATAGGCAGCGATAAACTGCCTACGATTATATAGTCGCCCTGCGTAACGGGTGTAAAATTAGAAAAACGGGAAAAATCGTTAAAGATATAAATAGTAGCACCGGAATTAAGGATAGTAGATACCCGGAAAGGGTAGCTAGTAGTAGTGCTAGCCGTAATGGTAGCGGCGTAGGAGACGCCGCTACGGACGCTATTATAGTTAAGTCACGCCTATTTAAGCGGTGTAGAGTCCCGGCTTATATCTTTCTTTACCTTCTTTACGGCTCGTAGTTCTTCTACTTCCGCACGTATTATAGGGTCGTATTTAAGGATCCGTTAGACGGTTATTTTAGTGCTATTATAAGTAATCTAACCGTCCGTTACTATCTCCGGGAATAAGTAGTAGTAAGCGTTAATATCGTGATTAGGCGTAGCGTATACGCGGTAGGGTTCCCCTTACCGGAGAGTAGATTAATATCTTTTAGAAGAAGAAGCGGTTAGTTAAAGTAGTAGAAGGTATAGCTATAGATACCGCGGTAATAGGATTCTTAGCTTTATTCTTCCTACGGCCGCCCTTCCTCTTAGGCTTACCCGTGGTCTTTAAGGTATCTTTACCCTCTTCGCTTCTAGTATATAATACAGGGAATACTATAGCGTGATAGTTACCACGCTTTCCTTAGTCTTTAAGTCTAGTCTTAATATATTATTATCTAAGGGTATAAAGATCCTCGGGTTAGATTACTTCCTTATCTAAGAGGCGTCCCTCGGCCTTAGTCTAGTCACGGCTGGCGATACTATAGATACCTCTAAAGAAGTCTACGATATAAATATATATTACGGGCGTTGATTTGACCTCTTCGAGGTGCTTTAATAGTTCCTACTATCTTACTAACTACTCCTATAGCTTCTTAAGGCTATTCAGAGTATTATAGACGTGTTTATTATATTCTTCGTAGATATCCGCGCAGCGCGTAGCCACGTAGTAAGCGGTATCGCGTTAAATAGCTTTATATACCCCTTTTAGCGTAGCGTTATATAGGAGTAGCTTACGGCTTTTATTAATAGTACTAGTCTACCACTTTAGTATCGCGTTAATACTTTTAGCGTGTTTATTATAGTTATCCCTCTATATCTTCTAGCGCTATATCGTAGATTCGTAGGCGCGCTAACCGCCGGCTATTAGATCTATAAGTTGCGTAGGCGTAGCGTCTACTTAGATAACTACGTTTAACGCTTAGAATTCACCGTAGGCAGGTATAGGAGGCTTTTAAGGAGTGGGAATAGGATTATTAGGACGTAGATATTCCTAGACTTTATTATTAACGGCTATAGCTTCGTAGTGACTACGCTAGAGCTCCTAATCGCGATAGGTTTTATAGGTAATAGGCTAGTATTCCGATATTTCAATAGTTATTTATAGATTAACACGCTATATCGGCGTAGCTAAATAGCTTCTTAAATTGGTAATAGTAGTAGAGGTAAAAATGTAGGTAATTCACTTAGTAAGTAAGACTCTTAATTATTTAATAAAGCGTAGTCAAAATCGTTATAAAATAGGTTAAGATTTATTAAGGTAATTACATACTATTATAACTATATTAGACCGTCAGGGAAACGCTGCCACCGTATTTTATATAGTGCAGATTCTGTAAGCGTCCACCCGGATTATACTCTTAGCAATCCGGCCTATTACGTAACCGAAAAGACTATGGTCTGTTCGGCACGTCGTGGTCCGTGTGCCTATATAACACCAGGGGCCCCGTTGTGGTCCTGTGTCCATACGACAGGAGGTCTATGCGACACCTGTAGGTAGCTCTCCGGGATTCCTAGACTACCTACCCGGGTTTGGGGGGGTATAGGACAGAGCCCGATAACTGGTCAATCTGTCAACAGTCTTAGAACATCATGTCGACAGAAATTTCTCTGTCCTGGCTCTGGTCAGAGCAAAAGTCTCTGTCCGAGCTCTGACCTAGAAACCCCCCCTCCCGGGTAGGTACGTAGCAAGTAAAGCAACCCAAAATCCCAGACAATATTCGTCTCAAATTCCCCATTAAATAGTACCAACCTCAACCCGCATAAACCACCAGTCAATATCAGATGGATACACATAACAGAGATCCCACGCATAGTGTCCACGAGCCTGATTCTAGTGAAGAAGCATCGGGAATAGAGTCCACTGTCTTCCCACTGATCAACCCGCACGAAGCAACCGATTACGTACCCACGAAGCTAGGAGAGCAAATTTGCCTTCATCAGGACGACAATGATGACGAGCCAGCCGTCGCCAAGCCCTTTGCTCGCACTAGCAGTCCTGAGTCGGCACCTCACATTCTTCATGCCGACAATAGAGTTCCTGAACGGCTAATGTACAAGATGCACAAGTTCAGCTTGTACGAAACTGCTAGTCGATATTATATCGTTGGGGCAGATATCACGGAGCGACGGTATCGTATCTTGAAGATTGACAGGACAACCGAGGACTCAGATCTTAGCATCACGGACGACAAGATTGTCTATAGCCAGAGGGAGATGAACCAGATTTTGGATACCATAGATGACGGGAACAAGGGTACGGGAGGAATCAGACTGCGCTGCACGACATGGGGACTGCTAGGGTTCATCAAGTTTACCGGGCCATACTACATGCTCCTTATCACGAAGAAGAGCACAGTTGCCATGATCGGGGGACATTACGTTTATCAAATCGATGGCACTGAACTTGTTCCGCTCACACCCGCACGCTTCAAACCCGATGTTCGCAATACAGAGGAGACGCGCTTCCTGGGTATCCTCAATAACTTGGACTTGACCCGTTCATTCTACTACAGCTATTCCTACGACATGACGCGGACTTTGCAGCACAACATCACCCGCGAACGAAATGTGCTTGCCAACGGTCTGCCCTGCACCTCCGGCGACGACTTCAATGCCATGTTTGTGTGGAATAACCATCTTCTTCAGCCTGCCGTCAAGGCTCTGCGCGACCCGTTCGACTGGTGTCGGCCGATAATCCACGGATACATTGATCAGGCAGGTATGTTCCGTCAGATAAACCCATGTAACCCAGAGAACCACAACTCACCAACTACGAGCCCTCTCAATATACGGACGAACCGTATACATCACCATCATCGCCCGGCGGTCTCGGTTCTTTGCAGGCGCACGGTTTCTCAAGCGCGGCGCAAACGACCTTGTAGGTTTATTATCGTTGCGATGGTTTTCTGATTGGGGGCACTAACTGAGGAACAGGGCTACGTGGCCAACGATGTCGAGACAGAGCAGATCGTATCAGATGCTCTGACGACGTCTTTCCACGCTCCTGGCCCTAAGCTCTTCTTAAGCCCTCAGTATACATCATACGTCCAGCACAGGGGCAGTATACCCCTCTATTGGACACAGGACAACACAGGCGTCACTCCTAAGCCTCCCATCGAGCTGAATCTTGTGGACCCATTTTACAGCGCTGCAGCACTCCATTTCGATAATCTTTTCGAACGGTACGGAGCGCCCATCTACGTGCTGAATCTCGTAAAAGCACGAGAACGGACCCCACGCGAGTCCAAATTACTCGTCGAGTACACGAATGCCATCCATTACTTGAATCAATTTCTACCCCCTGGCCGGAAGATCATCTACAAGGCGTGGGATATGAGCTGGGCAGCAAAGAACCGTGACGAGGATGTCATCGGGACGCTGGAAGACATCGCGGAGTCTGTTCTCACAACTACTGGATTCTTCCATAATGGCGACGGAAAGATCAATCCGGCCAGGGTCCAGAACGGGGTTGCCCGGACAAACTGCATAGACTGCCTAGACCGAACCAATGCCGCCCAATTTGTCATTGGCAAAAGGGCACTCGGGCACCAATTGCATGCGCTTGGCATTCTGGAGGGCACAGTTGTCGAGTATGACACCGATGCCGTCAACTTGTTCACTCACATGTACCACGACCACGGTGACACGATTGCGGTCCAGTACGGCGGCTCTCAGCTGGTTAACACGATGGAGACATACCGCAAAATCAACCAGTGGACGAGTCAATCCCGCGACATGATCGAGAGCTTTAAGAGGTACTATAATAACTCCTTTATGGATGGGCAACGCCAGGAGGCATACAATTTGTTCCTTGGGAATTACATTTTCTCCCAGGGACAGCCCATGCTTTGGGATCTTGCCACCGATTATTACCTGCACCATGCCGACCCCCGGATGTGGTCTGGGAAGTCCAAGGTAGACTATATCAACTGGTTTACACCGAGCAATCTCCAGCAGACGCAACTACTTGCGTACGATCCTCCGCCTGGCGACGTGGGTAAGAAGCCAGTTTCCTTCTTTGACGATTACTGGCTGGAGTACTACCGGCCCTCGACCCTGTCATCGTTTCTCAAGACGTTTCCGTATAAAATAAACTCTACCATTAGGTACATTCCCTTCAAGGCGACTCAGGACGGGCGATATGACCTCAGCCCCTTCAAAGTCCGCAGTGAAACGGACGTGGATCCCCAGGAAAAGAAGAAACCAAAGGAGCCGGTTGTTATCCCTTCCCAGGGGAACCCTTCGCGACCCGACGCAGACACTCCCTCCCTTCTCTGGGACCCGGCCATGGCTGCTAAGGGCATGGCTGCGAAAGGCATTCCCATCCCTCGGTGGTTGCAGCCCGTCCAGAACAGGCCCACTGATCACGGAAGCATCGTGCAACAGACAATACCCGACGACCCCACAGAGTCCCCGAAGGCAAAGCAAACTCCTCAGGAGAAGTACAAAGCTGCCCAATGGAGTTTCACCAGAGCCGTACATCAGTCTCTCAATCCATCGGTGAGCGCACAAGAGGCGGCTGATTATGAGCGGTACATCAACCACCCGCAGAACCTGCCGCTCGTTGTATCTGCCCAAGAACGTGCGGACAATGATTCGGAGTACCGTGATTATATAAATGGTGCCTGGCATTTGGAGACTCGTCTCCAGCCTGGACCAGAAGATGACCCTGCGCTGTATGCGGAGCTCCTGAAAGTTGGCGAGAATCCCCTCACAGTCACAGACGAAGATGCACAAAAGAAGCGGTACAAGGCGTATAGAAAGTGGCTCCGCGGGAAGTCATTTTTTAAACAGCAACCGGTTGAATGATGGCTTGGAGGAGATACGAAGCCAGATATTTCCTCATGCGATCCTCTTCTCGGGAAACAAGCGATCAAGGGCCGGGCTATTGCCCCGTACCCTTCCGATCTTTGACGCCAAATCATTTCCCGAAGTCTTCATGACAGTTGACAGAATCCTCGTTGTTAGCATTATCTCGTCCAGCAGTTCTTGATCGGGACGTGGTTGTTCCTTGGTGGTTTCCTGTTCATCGTGGACAGAGAGCCAGCAGACGGCCAGGGCCATGATCACCTGGTCCTCGTAACCCCCATGCGACAATCGTGGCCAGCAATTCCGCAACGTCACTTGGAGAGCTTTCACTGTAGCGAATAGGCAGGAAGGGAACCGCGCTGCGAATGGGTCAGTCAGAATCGCTGAGTATATGGAGAGGAGATCCTAGGACGAGGCAAGTCAGCAAGACATGCCGCGCCGTAATGGTTACTCGACGTTTCCGCCCACCTTGAGATGGGGCGAAGCAGCAAGACCCAACTCCTCCACTATGGTGGCACTGTGTCTGGTTAAGACCTCTGTCACTTCGTGGTATTGAGATGCGTGCTGATAGCCTGCGAAGAACTCATCTCGCAGGAGTTTGACCAGGAAACGATTTCTGGCATTGACGTCTGGTTGCCAATCGATCTGCGCTAGTTGAAGAATGGCAGAGTAGGCCAGATCTAGTAGTCGAGCAGACTCATCGGGGGGTATGAGCGGCGGTAGGAAAGCGAGCGTCGGCTGAATCGCTTGGCTCAAAATCTCTCCGACACCTTGATTCCTCAGTATCGCAGGTGGACACTTTCCGAGAAACATGCGTGTGGCAGCCAGCCCATGCGCTTTGTGTTTGACTTCAGCGTCGTCGAGTAGCGCCAGAAGAAAGGGGATATACATGGGCCAATGTTGACCAAGGAGGACTGCCTAACAAATCCGCATCAGCTGGCAAAACCGATGCGTGGAGTGCAAGGGGCCTAAGCTCACATCCGAGTGCGCCACAGCCCAGGTGAAAATTGAAATGCAGTACTCGGCACCAAATTCCATCCACGGATCTCTCTTCGTGTCGGTGGCATAGTCAACAGTCGCTTCCCAGCGACGTTTCCTCCCGCGCCATGTCGTACCGCTCGATGCTTTGGCGAAAATTGGTCCTAGGAAGCCTTGGGAGATGACTGACGTGATGAAGTCGGCCTTTTGTTCCGGAGAGTGGAGTTGCGAGTCGAGCAACTGTTCTGCCGTCACCTCGGCGGGTCGAGACACCGATCCCTCAACATTACCTGCGTATGCGGCAACTGCGACAAGAGTGGCTGGGTCGACTGTTGCTGAATATTGTGTACATAGCGTCGTTAGGATAGATAATGCATCCTCGACAACATTGGACGGGATATCTGGCGGAAAAACGATGGGATTCTCGCCACCTGCGCCAACTTCCTGTGAAGGCACCAGAAGGCTTCCAAGGAGATGACGAATCTCGCTGATGAATACCCCGTCTCCCTGAGCTCGTACCACTCGGTCTCTGCTCCGGAGGAGAGCTGGTATGGCACAGAGAGTGCTATACCTTCGCTGAGAATGACTCAGTTGCTGCCGGAGCAAACGGACTGGGAAGTAGGTGCGAGATCGTACCTGGGAGACTATCGAATGGAGTGTTTGGGAAAGCTTGAAGAACGTGATCCTCTCTTCGACACCTGTCATTTGCGTCAGCCTGGTCGACCTCTCATACCCAGAGGTCGTATACGACGATCATCACACAGACCGAGATCCAGGGTCTCAAATGAATGGTGAGGTCTCTCGTCTCCTAGCATGCCGGATAATGTGAATCCAGCCATGCGCAGTTCCCTTGGGGTGCAGTATCGATGTAATTGCTAATCACGATCGTCAACTTAGTTGCAAGTCAAAAAAAACGGAAGCAAGTATCAGACAGCAAAATTTTACCACTACGCTAAAAGGGATATCCTAACATTACGTAGGTAATTTTTATCCTGCCTTATAATTTATTCAACACACCCCCCTAGCTTGGTTAGATAACCGAGCAAGCTGGACTTTCACGTTATATCTTAATCCTTATCTATAGGCTAAGATCGTGTTTTCCTTTAACTTACTTCACGTTTCGAACTTAAGCCAGGTAAAGGGTACTTACTTAGCTAGCATAGAGCAAATAAGACTCTTAATTATCAGATAGCAGAATTTTACTATTAAATATATAATTAGATAGTAAAATTTTACTACTACGCTAAAAGGGATATCCTAATATTGTACAGGGTAATTTTTATCTGTCTTATAATCTATTTAATATTCAGTAGGTATATAGTAATTATGCTAGAGGTATGGGAACAGTGTTGTATATATGGGTGACTAAGGCTATACTAGCGTCTAGGCTCCAGAGGTTACGGGATTGTATACTACTTTTTTGTTCTTTAATACACGTATATAGCCCTAAAGCTATAGCCGGAGTCTATTAAGAAGACTAACCCTATAACGAGTTAACTAGTCTGTTTATATAAATATATTAATAGTAAAGTAAATTCTTTATAAATAGCTTTCTTAGGCTATAGGGTCAAGTTAATTTGTCCGAGAATTATCTTATTAGGTTATACGCTCTACGAAATGCCCTAGCTTATATAGCCTAACTGTAGTAGTATATATATATATATATATATAGGGGCGCTTAATTACGCGCAGTAGGTATATACCCCCCCCTCGAAGGAGGGTACGTACTAGAGGCAGTATAGTTCCACTTATTAGCGTGTAAGCTAATCAATATCTCCCTGATATATAGGGACCCCTATAATGTGCAGGAGCTCCGGGTAGGTCGCGCGCGAATTAAAAAAATCGCGTATAACTAAGGGGAGTTAGATTCGAACCCACGGCCTTACACAGCTACTAGGTATATCTACTACCTACGCTATCCCCTCTTATATACTACTATATAGCTTAGTACTATGTACTCTATATAGTAGATAGCTAATAATCTATATATATATATATATGTATTCCTATAATCTACTAGTAAGTAATCGTTTTATAATTACTAATATCGTATAATATAGTACTAGTATATAACGGATACTAGCTTTAAGTCGAAATTACTATTTTTAATTAAAACTAAAAATACCTCTACTTAACTTTATATAGCCTAAGGGCGTATTATACGTATAATACTTATTACGCTGCTATTGAAGGGGTGCTAGATACTATACCAAGATTACGACTAGCGATTTACAGGTTATCTAATTAATACTATAAGAAAACCGAGCTATAGACTTATAGCTTTCGAATTACGAGATCCTTTATCTAGTTAAGTGGACTAAAGGCCGAGTAGATAGTATCCGTAGATAACTCCGTACTTTTCGATATAAATTTATATAAATTTATATAACGCTATTATAACCGACCTAATCATAACCTACCACCTAGACTTATAACGTGATGTTAACGTCGATATATAGTACCCCGCACGATATCCCTACTATGTCTATTTTTTAGGGCTTAGCTATACTAAATATCTAGACTACTGCGTTAATATAAAGTATATCTTAACTAGAAACTTAAATAAACTGGTTCGGTAAGGTCTCCCCTTCCTACCATCCTTAATACCACGCTAACTTTAGCTCTAATAATAAATGTACTTGGATAATAGCCGCCCAGAATCTCTACACGATAGCTTAACCTATCTCTCGGATACCTCGCCTAAACTATACGATATAGCCAATAACGCCTCTAATACCGGCTACGAGGCCTAGGGCGATATATATAACGATATAATATCCCTAGAAGACGAACGTATAATTCGTATCTTTAGCCGCATAATAGCTTAAGCCCTTGTATAGATATAGCTTTAAGCTACTCTATATTAATAAGCTCCCCCGACCCCCCCCCCCGCCCCCCCTTCCGGCGCGCGGCTACCCTAACCGCCCTAGAATGATTAGGCAGAATCCCTATTTACTAGGCAGCTTTGTCCTTCAGATATCGGATGATTTAACCTATCTATACTTAACCCGGACCGTACCGGAATCGTTATATAAGGAGGTAACCTAGTGTATATAGACGTCTGTATATCTATAGATTGACTTCTTAAGCTATATATAGACCAACCGGAAGCAATTAAGGACATATAGATATAGTGTCTTAGAGGTTTAGCTCTAAAAGAGTACTCTTATATATTAATATGCCTAGATAGAAAACAACTTAAAGAGGCTAATATCCAGATAATCTACAAGAAATGTATTAAGGAATTTTAACCCCATAACTCGGAGGCCCTTATATTTTAATAGAGTTCTAGCTTTATAATCGTGGACGTCGTAAAGGGCAAAAGAACTAACGAATTTATATAGAAAATACTCCAAGTAGTACACGATATTAAAATCAGAAAGCACGGACGCTTAGAAGCTATTTATACTAGACTTAATAGCCTTACCTGAGTAATAATCCCCTCCCCCCTTCTAGTAATACTACGTCTTAAAAGCAATACGCCTATTAACCAGGGACGCGTAATAGAAGTAAAATCGATAAACCCACTAAGATAGCGATTATAACTATCGCCTCCCTCGCGGGATACTATCATAAAGACATAATAACGCTAGCGATACGGTATAACTGGAAGATTCGATAAACGGCGTTATCCTGACTTCGACCTTGTAAAGATTTCGATAAACCTATTTTTCGTAAAATAGGTGTTCCCCCCCCTCCCCCTTTTAGGGCAGAATACTACCCGGAACCGATATAGTAGCGATATAATCCGCTAGTATTCCTTTAAGGGCCTTATCTATAATACTACGAAGTAATATTAGACGTTACCCTTTTATTATCCTATAGTCGGCCGGCGGTCGGGCTTCTTTCTTAAGGACTACCACGATAGCGTAGCGGCACCTCTTCGAGTAGTAACATATTTTAAGGTCTATTATAAAGATAGCACTTAGTCTTTAATATAAGGGGGGTCCGTAAGCCTTTAGGGGCCCTGCTAGGAGCCTATCAGACCCTAACTCGTCTAGGGCCTTATCTTCTTAAGGCGCCCTTATACGTCCACTGTAGTAATATCGCGGCGGATATGCTATCCGGGGGGAAATACCACGCTTAGGGGCTAGGGGGCGGTAGGTTTAGGAGGGGAAAAGAACGTTTGGTTAAGGACTTCGGCGTTTTCCGCGTATATTCTAGCTAGGTCGCTATCGCTACCGCCTTAGCGTAATAGCGGTACTAATAAGAGGTCTGGCGGTGCCCTGCTCTTAGTTTATACTTATTTTTAGAGTCGCTAAAAGAGACTATTTCTTTTCCCGGTTAAGTAGAGTAAATACTGCTAATTCTATTGCTTCGCTACTGCTACGGCCTTATCTTAGCATCTCTCCGGCTTCTAGAACTTATCCTATTAGTTTCGGGACTTCCTAGCTATATATCTATAGTAAAGACGCCTTATTTCCTGGGTATAAGCGGTTAGCTCCACGTTCTATTAAAGGGTTAGTAAGAGACCTAGGTAGGCCAGTCTAGGCCCTATAGTAGCACCGTTATAGTATCTATTACTATATAGATATAGGCTGTTTATAAGTAGTAGTCTAATTAGATAACGGCCTTATCGTGACCGTTATAGTCATAGCGGGGCCTCTATATTACTTATATAAGGTCGATAATACTTAAGCGCCGGCGCGGGCGGTGCTATATAATGATTCCGGGTAGGGTAATAAGGTCTAGGTCCTCGCGGGTTATAAAGTCGAGTAGGGTATCGGCTCTAGGGTAGTACCGCGGTGGCTATAACTAAAAGGGGTAGTAGAGATTAAAATCCCCGGCGGGGATATAATAGCCTTAAAGTAGTGCCGTGTTAAGTATATTCTGTACGGGTATATTCTAGGGTATCTTAGCTAATTAGTAGTTCTCGGAGTAGATTAACTAGATTATAAGAGCGTTATCTCCGGTCCCGAATAACCGTGTAGGCATTATAATAGGCCCACTATGTCTACTTATATAACGAGTGTTTATATATATAGAGGAGGCTGTGCCCCAGTTCTTAAACTAGTCGGTATACTCCTTAGGAGGGTAGGCTAGGCTTTTCGTGAAGGAGTTAAGGCTAGGTTCCTGAATCGCTATTATATTGGATATAGCGTGGTACCGGAGCAGGAGGTCTCTCTACGTCTTAACTCCTCCTTATATTCTACGAACGGACGTAGATACTTATTAGTTAGAGGGTAGGGGGGATTACGTGAACGTACCCGGTATAACTATAGTCTAGCTTTAGGGCTCTTACTACGCTACCTTACTAGTTTACGGGGGACTATATAGGAGCTTATTAGGCCTGGTATCGGGGAGCCCTCTTAGCCCTTAGTCCTCTTCAGGGGCTGTCC